AGCATACACGTTTTTGCAGCTTTTAGAGTCAAGTTTTGAATTCAGGATGAAGGATACTCGATTCTCAAGCGCCTTCAAAGAAGGATGGTTATTGATTAACTCTGCAGTAAGAAGCTACACTTCGACCAACTTCGACAGATTGAAAGTTTATCTCGAAACAACACATTTTGCTCGAGAGCCAATTTCAACTTCACAACGAAGGATATTGGACTCCAGACAACGCAAGTTCAACTTCACGACGAAGGGACCGCTGGTTGTCACCAAACATTTCTCCAATTCAGAGCCAATTTCAAAACGAAAGATATTGGACTCCAGACAACGCAAGTTCAACTTCACGACGAAGGGACCGCTGGTTGTCAACAAACATTTCTCAATTCAGAGCCAATTTCAACTTCACAACGAAGGATATTGGACTCCAGACAACGCAAGTTCAACTTCACGACGAAGGGACCGCTGGTTGTCACCAAACATTTCTCCAATTCAGAGCCAATTTCAACTTCACAACGAATGATATTGGACTCCAGACAACGCAAGTTCAACTTCACGACGAAGGGACCGCTGGTTGTCAATAAACAATTTCCCAATTTAAGAGTCAATTTCAACTTCACAGCGAAGGATATTGGACTCCAGACAACGCAAGTTCAACTTCACGACGAAGGGACCGCTGGTTGTCAACAAACATTTCTCAATTTCAGAGCCAATTTCAACTTCACAACGAAGGATATTGGACTCCAGACAACGCAAGTTCAACTTCACGACGAAGGGACCGCTGGTTGTCAATAAACAATTTCCCAATTTAAGAGTCAATTTCAACTTCACAGCGAAGGATATTGGACTCAAGACAATGCAAGTTCAACTTCACGACGAAGGGACCGCTGGTTGTCAATAAACAACTTCCCAATTTCAGAGCCAATTTCAACTTCAAAGCGAAGGATATTGGACTCCAGACAATGCAAGTTCAACTTCACGACGAAGGGACCGCTGGTTGTCAACAAACAATTTCCCAATTTCAGAGTCAATTTCAACTTCACAACGAAGGATATTGGACTCCAGACAACGCAAGTTCAATTTCACGACGAAGGGACCGCTGGTTGTCAATAAATAACTTTCCAATTTCAGAGCCAATTTCAACTTCACAACAAAGGATATTGGACTCCAGACAACGCAAGTTCAAGGGACCGCTGGTTGTCAACAAACAACTTCTCAATTTCAAAGCCAATTTCAACTTCACAACGAAGGATATTGGACTCCAGACAACGCAAGTTCAACTTCACGACGAAGGGACTGCTGGTTGTCAATAAACAAATTCCCAATTTCATAGTCAATTTCAACTTCAAAGCGAAGGATATTGGACTCCAGACAATGCAAGTTCAACTTCACGACGAAGGGACCGCTGGTTGTCAACAAACAACTTCTCAATTTCAGAACCAATTTCAACTTCACGACGGAGGATATTGGACTCGGAACAATACTTGGATTTCAACTTCACGACGAAGGATATCCAATTCTCAGGCTCAACTTCACGACGAAGGGGCCACCTGCGGTCTCAACTTCACGGCGAAGGGGATCGTGCACACGAGCAACATCCATCTTTAGATTGGATTTCAACTTCACGACGAAGGATATCCAACTCAAAGAATGAGCATATGTCAACAAACTTTCCAGTTTCGAAGGTAATTTCAACTTCACAGCGAAGGATATTGGCCTCGAAACAACATACTGGATTTCAACTTCACGACGAAGGATATCCAATTCCAAGGCTCAACTTCACAACGAAGGGGCCATCCACGGTTTCAACTTCATGACGAAGGGAATCGTGCTCACCATTGTCTCCCTTGAGACAGTTTCTCTTGAAACACCAATCTTTAAATATTTTTCTCTTGAAACAAAATTTTGCCTCTCTGGAGACAGTTTCTCTTGAAACACAAAAATCCTTTGAAGTCGTTTCTGAAACAAAAAACCTTTGAAATCGTTTCTCTTGAAAAAAACCTTTGAAAATATTTCTCTTGAAACACAAAGACCTTCGAGTTCGACTACGCTCAGCTCCAAGGCACATCATTCATTGCATAACTCAAGGCTAGAAGGGTTATCTGCCAACAAAAACCTTCGAGTTCGACCACGCTCAGCTCAAAGGCACATCATTTGCAGCATAGCTTAAGTCGAGAAGGGCTATCTGCCAACAAAGACCTTCGAGTTCGACTACGCTCAGCTCCAAGGCACATCATTTACAACATAACTCAAGGCTAGAAGGGTTATCTGTCAACTAAAGACCTGACGAGTTCGATTTCATTCAGCTCGATGACAATGATGAACTACTTTCTGGAAGAATTTTCAAGCCGAAATCTTTAAACCGAGAAGAAAACAAAGGCCCAATTCCAGGAAGCTCAATCACATTTGAGAACACCAGACAAAAACTGATTGTCTTTTTTTGTCTTTGCCCAATTCTTGTTAACACAAAAATGTGCAAAGAGGGGCAGCTGTAGACACCCGTTTTTGTCCGGGTCTACAAAAACATTTTATCATATATTTATTTATTATTGTTATTATTATTATTGTTAATAATATTTTTATTTTTTAATTTTGTAGGCCACATGTTCAACCCTCATTTCCAACAAACTACCCACTACCAAAAAATGAGGGAACCTCTATTGCTTTCCCCTTCCATCCACTACTCCCACAACGTCCATAACCACAACTCCACTAACTAGGTAATACACTTGCTCCAGACCGTGCCAATAAAAAGGAGAAGGAAGTTCCACTTCAAAGGAGGGGGGAGGGGGCTCAGAATCTCTCTATTTCTATTCCCAAACAAAACCCGTATTCGGGTTCTATCCACGCTCTCCACTCCAAATTCCGGGGAAAAAAGTCATAGTTTTCCCTTCATTTCTTTCTCTCGATGGAAAAAGAAAAGGATCCCATTTTTCTCCCATTAATTCTCTACGGTTTGGTATCTCGGATGAGACATGAAGAAACCAAGAAATGGGCATTCGATTGTGTACGTGACATGTCGAAACGAATATAATAATGGCAGGAACGAGGCCATCACAACGAACAGAGACGCTATCAAGAACATATTTATGAACACAAAAGCATCTATGAACTCTCCTCGTCTATCATCATCTCTCCTTGGTGCCTCAGTTTCTCATTCTACTTTCGGCTCGGCCATAGCCATGAAAATGGAGGAAATTCATATCCTGAGAACCAAACCGCATGTTCTCCAAGTGTTGGCCATGGAATATTGTGCGATGATGCATGTAGAGAAGATCTGCCTAGTGGAGGAGCAGTGGTGCCTAGTGGAGGGAGCAGTGGTGGAAATTGGGACCCATGTTTCATTGGCATGATTTGTTTATTTGAATAAACCCACGTGAAGTGGACTGGGGTAAATTCTAGACATGGTCCTTCAGTTATTGGGTAAATTACTCCATAGCTATTCAGATTTTGTGGCTAAATCCTTCTTTTGGTCCCCATCTTTAAACACATTCGTTTTGGTCTTTTTATTTATTTATTTATTTTATTACTTATTTATTATTTTTCTTTTTTACTAACTTATGTTTTTCTTTGTTATTTATTATATTAATATTTTTTTCTTTTTTCATATTATTTTACTTTACAATCTAACAATATTTTTGACTTTAGGGATACTTTACAACTAATCAAATGTAAGTAATGTGAACCGAATTTTTAAATTTCAATTTAAATTTTTAATTTTCGCTAATAAAGACAACCGACAAATTAATTGGTACCGAAAGGGCGGTTTAAGGGTGCTAATCCTTCTTAACCGTAATCGACTACCGAACCCGACACGTTTCTGGTACAACGCAGATCAGGTAAGATGGTGTCCGACCCACCTAAATTTGTTTTAAAGTGGTCGGTGGCGACTCCAATTCATTTAATCCAAGTCGAAGCCCAAGTTTGGGCCCAACCGAAAGACGGTTGCGACAACAAGGAATTCAAGAACGGAACCGCAGATATCTGGCTCTAGCTTACTATCCATTGAGGTTTGAAGTAAGAAACCCTAACTTTTGGTCGCATCGTATTTATCACGGTTATCGATATAACGGATGTTATTGCGGTCATTGCGGATATCGCGATCGTGAATTTTTTTTCGAATGAGCTGATTTTTTTAATAAAAGACCAGTTTTTTTAAAAAAAATTAAAATAACAGAATAATAGCGGAATAGTGGTTCGTTAAATTGAGGCCACGATCCGCCGTTATTGGTGTGATCCCGCTTCACACCGTTATTTTCCGTAATAGCGGTTTTGGACACCGCCGCGACCGTGATACTGCTATTCGACCGCTATTTAAAACCCTGATAACTGGTCAAAAATAATTCTCAATCATTTGACATTAAATCCTTACACTCTTAATACTTAGGAACAACAATAATTCTTTTACTATAAAATCACTTGGTTCGTATAATTACAAATAAGTAAATTGTATATAAAGTTATTATTTGGTATATTATGGAAATCTAATCAATTTAGTATTACTTTTGAAAAATGATTTTAAGAATATTGTAAATAGTAATTTTCAAAAATGTATTTAAAATTTAGTTGTTTAAGATTATTATTAAAAATGATTTTGAAAAGATAAATATCTATTTTAGATATTATATTGTAAATTGAAAATATAATATCTATTAAAAATGCGTGGATAAAAATATGATTTTATCTAAAATTATTTTTTTATTGTAAAAGTTAGATATTTGAATTTATAAAGTTAAGTTAAAAATAATTTCTTTAACTGTAATTTTAAATTGTTTTTTAGTGTTATGAAAAATTACTTTTCTATTAATAGAAAAGTGGTACGTCATCGGGTTAAGCTTACAGATCCTTTACGGAATATAAACTTTCATTATCAAAAGATTTAAAGTTTTTAAATTTGTATTATTTTGTATTTACTTTAAATTTATCAAAAAAATAATTAATCGTGTAGGTATTGGAAAAGTGTTCATCATGAGATTTAAGTTTATTGTTAGTTATTTATTTATGTTTTAAAATTAGTTGCGGCGTTGATCGCGGGTGTAATATTTGATGTCGAAGACGGTTTCGGGGTCAGATGTGGGGACGATGGGCTTCAGCAAAGTGGTGGCCGGGCAGCGAACACGGTACTCCGTGGCTTTGGGCAAAGCGCTCCTGTACTCTGGGTCGGCGCAAGGTCCGGTTATCTCCCATGGCTTCTTGATGTACCGTTTCAGGCTTTGGAAGATGGAGGAGCTGCTTACTTTGGATGCCATTGATAGATTGTCTCTCCACGGAGTTTTTTTGTGAAGATGACTCGAAGTGGTGACCCTAATTGGCTTGCCAAAATAATAAATAATTAACTCTCATACTAAATAATTAATTAATTTAATCATTTCGTAAAATATTATTTAATTAACTCTCAAACTCATAAATTATATTAATTTAATTTTATGTTTGATGTTAATTGTTAGTATAATAACATAATTATTAATTATACTGATGTACTAATTCATTATATTGGTCTAATAATTTATGAGCTCATCTAACAAAGCCTTTGTTGCAACCACAAGTTCATCAAGGATAGCGGTGATGGTCTCTTCTAGCGAATTTCCTGTTATTTTTATTTTATTATTGTTTAATTTCGTTAATTTTCAGTTATATTTTAATGTATTTAAAATAATATTTTATCTCAACAATTTTTTCTAATAAAGGGTATCATAACTAGTGATGATTTTGAACTCTCAATAATTGTATCTTTCATTGGTCTATGATTTTTCGGGATTTCATGGTTCTCGGACATATGTGTCGGACGAGACTGCGATTAAAGGATGATTCATTTTTCATTCGTTTACTTCTGATATTCTTTAGGTTTTCCTTCACTATATCTAATGTTTTAGGAAGTCGGAATGATTCATCTCTATATGTCATTGGCTCAATTTTTCATGCTCTTACTTATCAAGCTATCAATGGTTGATTACAGATATATTTTGTTCATGATAGACGTGAATATATTTATCTTGTATGAATGTAATAAGACGCTGATGATGATTTTTATCTAATAAACGAATATATTATAGTTCTATATTAAGAAATAATTTACGATATTAATATAAACATTTACATAAAATTGATAAAAAGGTAATATTTATTTTTAATATAATATTTTAAAAAAATAATAAAATACTAAAAATATATACTACTAAAACATTTATATATTTAAAAAATATGTAAGAATCAATTAAGTCTAATTTTTTAATAGTTTAGGATAATTATAAGGTATTATTTGTTCATGAATTTTTTGGCGTTTTTCCCGAAAAATCACCGATGATCGGTATATTTATCGATCTAACACCAGTTAGATTATATTTCTCGATCTAACACCCGTAGCAGTAAAACGCGCCCCCTGCCCCGCGCTATATGCTGATTTGGTGTCACGTGGGGTATAGCGCACCCCTTGTACCGCGCTATATGCTGACATGGGTTACACGTGTGTATAGCGCGCTCCCTGATTCGCGCTATACGTCACGTAGGGGTATAGCGCAGATCAGGGGCCACGTTATACCTGGTTATCTGACACGTGGGGTATAGCGCGGTACAGGGGGCGCGCTATACCTTTAATTACCCACCCGTTCACACCCCAATCCTCTCTATAAATACCACAATCCTCAATCACTTTCATCACACCAAATTCTCTCAAATTTTATTAATTTCTCTCAAATACTCTATTTGTTTAAGGTATATTTTATAATATTTTTAATATTATGTATTTAATTTATTTAAGTATTTTACTTTATTTAATATTTTACTAATATAATTTTTTTGCAGATATATAATGAAGACAGTCTACTTCGATTGGATGAAAATCATATATCTCGACACTTTATTAATACGGTAACATTTTAACGTTTTAATTTAATTTAAATTATTAGTAATAATTAGTTGATTTATTTAATGCATGATTATTAGATTAAGAATTAATTTTTGTCATTATTTATTTTTAGGAGAATGACCGTGCATTAGATCCTTTTATTAGGAATCTTAAGTTAGTGATACCTAGCTGTGTCTTGTCGTATTTAGTAGAGGCTGGATTTGGTTACATAGGTAGATATCAGGGTCACTGTAAGATAGAACTAGACCTTATTTCTGCCTTAGTAGAGCGGTGGAGGCCGGAGACCCACACATTCTATCTTCCGTGCGGAGAGTACACGATCACGCTTGAGAATGCTTCTATGCACCTGGGGCTTCCGGTGGATGGAGATGTGATATCAGGGATAGCTTCCGGTTATTGGACTACTTTGTGCCGGGATAATCTAGGATGTGTCCCAGAAAGTTTTATCGGAGGTAGGATACCGTTAAATTGGTTAGATGCCAATTTTCGGGAGTGAGCGCAGACGCCTCTGAGGATGAGGTTAAGATGTATGCACGAGCATACATATATCAGTTGATAGGAGGGTTATTGATGTCGAACAAATCGCGTAACCTAGTTCACTGCATGTGGTTGTGACTTTCGTCTCGTCGGATCATTCAGTTGGGGCTCGGCAGTTTTGGCTTTGATGTACAGGGAGATGTGTGGAGCCATTGACCACATGCATAATGCTATCGGCGGATGTCTCCTACTGCTACAGTCTTGGGCATGGTATCGATTGCCATTTTTATGTCCCGTTGTGAAGAACCCATTCGTATTTCCACTACTTTTGAGGAAATTATAAAATTGATTTTGTATATTAATAATTTTATACAGCATATAATAAATTTTTTTCCTTGAATAGATGGTCTACTGATAGGAAAAATCATCAGGAGCTACCTGATGATTTAGAAAAAATTAGGGTGCTAATCGATCAGAAGGCTGGCACACAGGTATGAATTTTAATGTTTAAAAATCGATTTTAGATTATAGTTATATAATTAGATTATTATTTTGATAAAAATTATATATTATTTGTTTTAGTTTGAATGGGTGCCATATTCTACTGATGATGTGAGGGCGGTGATCCCACCTGAGTTGAGGGGTCCATAAGATGTTTAGATGGCGATGATCCCTATGATCCGTTATGCGACCGTCGAGTGGCACTCCACTGATCGTGTGCTCCGGCAGTTTGGTTGTTTTCAACAAATTCCGGAAGCATCTCGCAATATGGACGAGTTGCATAGCTTAGATAGACGTGGCAAGACAGATACAGATTGACTGGTGAGGCATCATGAGTGGGTCGTGTTGTGGGAGGATCGACATCAGCGCCTTCCCCGTAGAGAGCCCATTTTTACTGACTTCTTGATGGTTGTTGAGGGTTATTATGAGTGGTTAAACAGTAACGGGAAACCATTTCAACTTCCCGAGGATGCACGAGGGCGGACCTTTCCACGACGTCGACAGAGACGTCCACCGACACAGCACCATCGTCCCCCGACTCGTGGATGGAGAGCAGATGCTTCTGGTTCATCCTCAGCTGCACCAGCAGGACCTTCACAACAGCCACCGCAGCCATTTATGATGCTGCAACCATATATGATGCCGTCATTACCTTTTCATTACTAGATGTCGCCGCCGCCTTCATCAGGTTTTATGACCCCGCCGCCACCACCGTTACAGATGACCCCTCTTGGAGGCTATTATGGGTCTATATTTGCAAATCTGACTTAGGGTTCATATGCTAGATATTTGACGGGTTCAGTCTCATCACCCATGGCCGCAGCACAGACACTTCCTGTACAGTTTTCACACTCAGCGATGTCTGGGTTTTCACAGTTTTCGCAGGCCGGCTGGATAGTCAGGCATACACCTTCAGGGTCCTTATTCTATGGAGGTGCTTCATCGTCATCATCTCCTCATCAACCTAATGTATCTACTCAGGACGACGACGACGACGACGGTGATAATGATGACAACGAGGAGTCAGAACCAGTTATACGAAGAAATCCTCCTCGAGACCAACAGCCACCGCCCTGCGGAACACATTCGTGTCGCAGACATCGATAGATTTTTTTTATTATATTTGTATTTACTTTATTTTGTTAAATTGTAATTTTTTATTATTTCTCATTTAATATTTACTTTAGTTTGTTAAATTTGTTGGACTTTTTTTAATGTATTTCAATTAATTTTGTTTATTACCATTTAATATCAGTTATTGTAATTTGGTTATCATTTAATACTTATTGTAAGTTTGTTGTATTTAAAATTATATTAAAATTCCAATTTGGTTATCATTAACTTGAAGTAAATGCAAATTAAAGTATAAGAATTATTATTTGATAAACAAATACATCATTTACTCATCAATTGTTACTTGATGACAACAGAAGTGGACATGTTTTTCTCGTGTGTCCTGGGTTTCTACAATGGCCACATCTTCTGTCTTGTCTAGATCTTTCTCGAATATCCATATCACAATGAATTCGATTGGATTTTGGATGACCACGCTCCCTCAATAAACTCGGATTTGGTACAATCGGAAGCCAATCTTGAACCTCATTAGGGGTTTTTTCATTACTTATAGGAGGAAACTCAAATTCATATACCTTAAAAACTTCAGATAGTAGGTATACGGGATCCACAAAATGGTTATAGTATTGACGTGTATGCGAGCAAGCTGCTATCACATGAGAGCATGGATACTTCAGAGCTTGAAAAAACTCGTAGTCGCACGTTCTGTCCCTTAGATTTACTCTTAACGACACAGCTTCAATCCCTTGAAGAGGTCGCGACAACTCTGTGACACGAAACATTCAGCCTTCTAGAGAAGCTTGTACAGACATTCCATTTGATACAACAATTTTTTTCTATAGATCTGCAACTAATCTAGGGTGATAGACATGACCGCCTTGCATCCAGGTTTGAGCTTGTCCCCCGAGCTTTGCAAAAAGCGCCCCAAACGAAAATATGTATTTTTTACCAAAACCGCTACAGGTAAGTGACGTGCACGCTTTAAGGTTGAATTGATTACCTCAGCCAAGTTGGTCGTCATGTGTCCGTATCGATATCCACTATCATATGCGTTCATCCACATTTCTTTATCGATGAGGTTGATGTAATCGTATCCTTCCTCGTTCTTCGCCCGCAAATCTTGAAGCATTGATTCAAACGTTTGAGGAAGTAGTTCGTAACCTGATCAAAAAATGTATAACTTACTAACTTGCTTTCTTTGCAAAATTAAAATGATCAAAAAATGTATAACTTACTAACTTGCTTTCACTTACCCATGCGCATAATTAATTGACGCTCGTCATTCTTCTTGTACCTTCCATGATAGTTCACAGCAATGTGTCGGAGATAATACCTATGTTAGACAAAGGGTGGTTGCCACATTGGACCCAAAGACTCCATTGTTGCTTTGA